AAAAAAAAAAAAAAGAAAGAAAGAAATGCATCGTTGAAAAATTAAAAAGAGCAATCGGTGGAAAATTTTTTAGCGGGAATAAAAAGTGAAAAAAAAATATTCCTCGATTCGAGAAATATGACACGAATTGAAATTGAATGAAATGAAATAAGAGTATAAAATAAAATATAAGTAGTAATAAAATATATAATGGTGATAATGTGAAAATGAGCGAAGAAATTTAATATAACAATGAAAACTTTTTTCAAATGAAATTAATCACTATGATACAAAGTGATGATGTACAAAGTGAACGATAAAGTAAGAAGAAAAATTTCGAGATATTTCGATCGTGATTATGACGGATTATATAGATAATTTCGACGACTTACCACCCTGCGTGATTCCGTTCAAACTGGATTCCGATTTTGCGTGATGAGGGCCCGTGAATGAATAATGATATCCCCCTGATCCGTCCTGTATATGGTATTGTCTCAATGGCGTCAGTGATCCTACAGGGCTTAGCCAAACGTTTGCGATCGGCGTTGCGATTATTAGGCCGAAAAACGTGCTTAACAGAATTATCTGGACAGAAACAGAGAAATATTTCATTTGTGCATTTAATCCAAGAAAAAATTGAGAGAAAGGTGAGGGATAAGAAGAAGGAGGAAGAAAAAAAATATCTAGGGAGATAAATGTTGTTAAGTTTACGTTTGAAAAATGTAACCAGAGGATACAATCTGTGGATATATAATTAGATAAATATTTTCGAGTTTGCAGAATCTTGGCAAAGTTTAATCAAAATTTTCCACAAATTGTCCTCGAATATCTTCAATCCTGTTGAAATTTAATATCCCTAGAAACCAAACTTTTTGCCCTTCCTTTATCTATCTCTTCCGAGATAAAATAATTGTATTCCCTTCCAATTTCACAAATGTACTTTATTCTCCCCCGAATCTAATTTCTCCCGATACCTTCCACCAATCTCTACGTATATAAATAAATATACCCTCCTCAAACGTAATTTGAATTTTGAAATTTCTCTTCGTGTGTTTTCGAGCGTAATTTTCCTCCCACCTAGTTAAAATTAAATTTCCTTTCACATCTTCATCAATTTTCTTAGATTAAATCGCGCCGAAATATATATTTTCGCGAATCTCTCCCTCGTCGAAACGACAATTCGAAAGGACGTGACAATCTTTCAAGAATATCGAGTCTTTTTATGCGAAGAAATTCACGAAGAATTTACTATGCACTGTGCGCATTCGGAATGGGGGCGTGCGTGGATATTCTTCTCGATGTTTAAACCCCCTTGATCGACGTTTCGACGGTCTCTCCCGCGAATCATTAGAGGAAGGACAGGAAATATCGTACGTGCCTCACGTCGAACATTCGAATCTCTGAATTTTTCGGTTTTTCAGTTTATCTTTGTCTCAGTTTAATCGTGAATTTGAAAGATCTTCGATGAGTTTGATACAATTTTTTTTTTTTTTTTTGTATAGAAACGAAAATTACTGTGATAAATTGTTGGAATAATTTTGAAATTTAATTTATACAGGTTTATTAAAAGTAAGTGGTTTTAAATCGCTGATTTGATCAAATATAATCATTCAAAAACTCGAGGACAAATAGTAATTTCATGTACAATTTTAATTATAATGAATTATAATTACTGAGAAAATGTTACTTTTCCAATGAAATTTGAAATAAGATTTTTCAATTGAATTTAATAAATATTCTAAAGTAACGTGACATTATTTATTTATTTATTCGATTATCGATCATTAAACGTCCACCCATACGGCAATGATTTGAGGATGCAAATTTTTATCATTGAAAAGTGAAAATGGAAATAATTTCATAGTTCGAAAATTGAGGACAGTTGAATAAATTTGCTTGCTGTAATAATATTTGAATTGCATCGAAATTAAACCTTGCCTTCCTTCCTTACACGAGATATTGGTTATACGTTTCATCCGTGTTTCGGATAGAATGGCAACAGAATTTCAACAATCTGCGTCAATTTGATTCCAATCCATGTAGAACGATAAGTTGATGGTCGATTACTGTGAATTCATTTCTGGATTGTGTAGAACGGTGATAACGATCATCAGCTATCGATTTATTTATCGTGCCCTGCTCAAAACCGCGTTAATCAATTATCATCAATTTATTTTTGAAAAATTGACGCATGGAAAAATTATATCCGATTATAATCTATTCAACGATTAACAATTTATTTTTTAAACGAACACTTTAAATGAATTGAATAATATAAACTTCGCGACTCTCTCTTTTTTTTAATTTTCGATTTTTTTATTTTATAAAAAATCGAAATAAAAATCAGATAGTACGAAGATTTAAAATTAAAGAATTCGTTTATGAAAGATTAATTAAATAAGTGATTTATTATTTTATAATATTTGTTGACGTTACTTTTTCTAAAAAAATTAGTGAAGAAAATTTATTTTGATGAAACTAATTTGTTAAATAACGAGTTGTTTGTTTGTTTAAAACTGCACGTGTAAATTACTTTACTACGTATTCCTTTCTTCTTTTTCTTTTAATTCGAAAAACTCGAAGAAAAGATTACGTAGCAAAATTTTTAATTTCAAAAAAGCATTTTTGGATAAAAATTTTTACGTTCTTCCATATCAATACACGTATTCTTAAAATTTTCAAATTTTTAATCAAATTCTTCTTCTAGTTACGTTAAATTCAATTTATTTGAAAAAAGAAAATATATACACTGTTACAATTTTTACACTAAAATAATTTTTACACTAAATATTTTCAAACGAACATCTCCATTTTCGATGAAAAAAATATATAATAATATTATAATATATCAAAATACAATATTCTCAAAAAAGGAAGAAGGAAATATACTCAAGAAAAACCATTCGAAATATACTTTGCCAACGTTGGAAATCGACAAGTCAATCTTCGTTTGATCGAAAGGAACCACGACTAATCGATTAACAAGCGATTCGATTACCGATAATTAGTCGAGCAACACGGGATTGAATGGGGTGATGGCGCATTCCACGAAAGCGTTTGCGTTTAATAGGTCGTCTCACGTGAAACTTCCGCTTCATCGAGAAACTTCCGATCCACAATCGCAGTTGTAATCGTCTACTACGTCGGCCAAGTTGCAAGCTTTTCTTTATTACATCGCAGATTACGCAGAATTACAATGCGAACTTAACTTTGCGAAGGCGTAAAGCCTCCACTTCCGGTCCAAAAGTTTCGAGAGCTCTTTGGAAACTTGGATACATACATCAAGAGGAAATTGTTAAACGTTTATTGGAAAATTCTCTTTTTTTTTTTTTTTTAATATTGATATAAATTCAAATTTCGTCGAAGGAAAATTTTTGAAAATTTTCACACGAATTCAATGTGGAAAAGTTTATGGAATATTAAGTTAAAATTCCGTAAGATCAAATAATAAATCACGATATTTTTGTAGAACGCGTGCGAATTGAATATTGAAATTGTTGTCAATGAAAGTTGACAAAATCATCGTTGATTTTATCAAAATTCACTTCGACATTACAAAATCGAAACATTCTGCCAATAATTTCCTCCAACACAAGCGCTGACTTTTCATATTTTACATTCCCTAAATTTTAATTAAAATATGGTAATAAATTATAATTTATGCAAAATTAATTCTTAAATAAAATTATAACGCATGCCATATTTTTTCTTTCAGATAAAATATAACGAGAGAATTTTACATTTTAATATCGATCAATTTTTCAAAACTTTCGATCTAAATCTTCGATCTAAATTCTTCTAAATATATTATTATATTACAAGATAGATGATCATAATTAAATCAATCTTCTCTAACTCAAATCTTCATAATAACTTATTATGAAAACAGTTTGAATAGAAACAAAATTTCACTAGCAAAAGCATGTAGAAGTAACAAAAATTTCGGTCATCTGTAAATTGAAAGTTTAAATAAACAACGTTTATTACTTTTTCAAATAAATAAATACGCCTTACTACCCTTGGAAGTTGGAAAGTTTTTGAGAAAAAAATATAGCCGCGTGAGCGGAATGGGGTTTCCTTAAAAGTTCCCCTCGAGTTCGAAGGCCGATTTACGCGGACTAATCGAGATTGCACCCCGCGAGCAGCTTCGTAAAACTTGGAAATTAAATGACAACCGTGACGAGGCCGGATTAAACTTCCTTTATTTACGCTTCGTTGCCGCTGCGTGTACACAAGCACGCCCGACATTCCAAACTCCCTTCACGAATTGCGAATTCACCCCTCGAATTCGAGTTTCAAATTCCGTTGCGAAATCGCTTCGAAATCGACGATTGATACGACGTTTTTGCAGAAAATTTCTTGTATCGATCTTTTTTTAAATAAAGATTATCGATCTCTGATTTTCCTTTGGAATAATAACAAACAAAATATTACTTTTAAAGAAGAGGTCAGTTTCATTTGTTGATCAGTAGGCAGAAAGGCAGAAAGAATTATAGAATTATATTTTTTATTTTGCTTAAAATATCGCTGTTGATTTGAAAAAAAAGATCAAATGAGAAAGAAAAATTAAATTTGAAAATGATACATGATTGATACATTTCAATTTTAAAAAATGTGAATCCATCTAAAATAACTATTTCGATTATTTTCATTGTTATCGAACTAAACTTTTTATCGTATATATTGAATTTCCAAGAATCTTTAAAACAATAACATTTTATTTTTCTTTTAATATTTCTTTTCTAAGTTATAATATCTTCCCTACAATACAATTCCTTTTTGCCTTTCAATCGATAAAACGATACGATAATAAAAAGAAACGACCATTTTGATATTTCCAACTTTGCAACGCATTAAAAGTAACTAATGGAACGATAAAATACTAAAAAAGAAAAAAAAAAATCAAATCGAATAAAATCCATCACATCCTCCAAACTTCCGTACGACTAGCAAAAATTACTACTAAAAAAATATTCACCGACAACCGAAAAAAACTTCCAAAAGAAAAGAAAAAAGTCTCGTCCGTCTAAAGAAAAATTCCACGAAGGAAAGGACGTGAAAAGCCCGTAAAAGAAAGCCCGCACAAAAAACTCTATTACGTTATATTTCCATAATCCACTCACGAGTATCATGTTCGTATGGTATGCAGGCCAGGACGTCCCCGTGAATCTTGAATGTTCCCGCGCGATAATGCCGCAGCTAACGGTCTATACGAGAGTGTGACCACTCGCGGACGTCCTCTTATATAGGACAGGCGCGCGCCGCGTTTCCCCCACCACTCGGCCCTCGACTCGGCCCTGCTAGGGGTCCTACTAGGGGTCCCCCGATGGGGCGCCGCGAGTCGATCCACCGCGGCTGCGCACCATCACAAATCACCCCGAGTTCGATTTCCAGGCCGATAAATCAATGTTTATTGGTCGTATGGTACGAGGCGTCGATCTGAATGCATTCCAGCCAGAGGGGATGCACTCTCTGGCCGCGTGGATGCCATTCCAACGCCACCTTTTGAACCCGGCTCGACTCGAGTTTCCTTCGACGTCCAAGTTGTTAATAATCCACGCTGGATCGAGTGCGGAGTATCGATGATGGGTGGAAGATCGCGTCGAACAATGGATTAAAGGGGGAGGAGGGTGGAGGTTGCGGTGAGATGGTGGTTGCGGGGAGTTGTTTCTCTTTCTCTCTTTTATTTTTCTTTCTTTCTTTTTTCACGGTTACCTTTAGGGATCGTTGTGGGTAATTATAGGTGAATTATATCGAAAGATTTTTAGAAATTTATATTATTGTATGCATGCCGTTCTGCTTAACCCTTTTTTGGGTTTGGTTTTTATAAATTTGAGAAATTATTTAGAGCTTGGTAAAATGTAATAATTAAATTGGCAAGAAAATAATAATGTATATATAATATGTGATATGTATAATATGTGATAATTTTAATTTTCCAATGGAGAAAATTTATTGAATTAAATTTTTATCGATGTTATTAATTGTTAATTGCGAATCATTCTTCTCATTTCTTCTATTGAACATCTACAAGTACTTTCCAATCAGAGATTGAATTTCTTTCTCGATTCTTTTTATCATCATTAAACAGAGGTTTAAATTAAAGTACTTAATGAGTACTTTAATTGTTATTAAATTTTGTATAAATGAACAATTTATTCTTAAAATTTTACTTCCTCTGTACAAAGAATCTCTCTGTATTCTATACAGAAATTCTATACAGAATTTCTTCCAGTAGAAAATATCGTTACCTGTCAGACACTACTCAAAGAAACTTTCCTGTAACTCAAAATATAAATATAATATCTTTCTTAACTTAACTATTTCCTTCTCCAATGAAAGATACATAAATATATATAGACGTATATATATCAACTTTAAATTTTGCTTATAGTTAAATAAATATCAAGTATTATTTTTCTTTTTTAATTAAAATTATATCTCAAATTATAAAGTATACAAAAGAATCAAAATATTTTCATTCATCAAACATCAGACAAACTTTATTTTTATCTATTATAAAATTTATTCAATATTCTGTCCAATAAAAAAATATCCTCAATTATTAACATAAACAATCTTCCAACTATTTATTTAAAATTCATGTCACGTATTTCTCAAACAAGTATTTATATCTATTTTAAAAATCTCGTATTTTTCATTCTCCTACTTTTAATATTCAATCTACACGCATTCCTTGATAATTGAAATATTCATTTCAATATTATTAAAGATTATAATAATATTCCTGTTTATTAAAAATCAATCGAAGAATCTTTCATTCAATCTTCCTTCAACAAATATTTCTATTTATTTTAAAAAAATATCCTATCTCCTTCCTGATTTCCATTCTCCTATTTTCAATATTCAATCAAAAATATCCAATATTAGAAAACATCTATTAAGCACCAGGCAAAACAATCTTCTCGATCTTCCTTCCTTTTTCTTTTTTTTCAATATTCCATCCACAATTTACAAAATTCCTATCTCAAAAATATCCTCATCTATAAACATTGCCCACCTATCTATTCCTCCTCTCACCACAAATGTATATTCCAAACAAAAAAAAAGAAAAAGAACAAGAAAAATTTCCAAGTACTCCCTCCTCCTCCATCCTCATCCACCTCGAAGAGAAACGAACGAAACAGCGTAAATGTTATTAAGCAATCGCCCGAATTCCGATATTCAATCCACGTATCCCTCCAACAGGTATTTCCACTTATCTCGAAAAATCCTCGACAAACCGGGCATCCAGCCGGAGCGTGAAACGGTCCCAACTTTATTAAACGACCCGGGGGTCACAGCTGGAAAAGCGAGACGGCTCTCTCTCGTCTAACGAACGAGCCACCGACCGCTTCCTCGAGGCCTCCACCTCGAGGTTTACTTATGATACACACGAGCCGCTCGTTTCCATGCGAGGCATTCGAGAGAGGCCGCGTTTAGTGGCAATGTCAAAAGCGATGCGAGCCGCCCACGTGGCCGCGCGATGAAAAATCCTCCTCGGCGATGCGACTTGTTGCGCGGCGCGCGTGAGTAACGCCGATGGAATTGATGAACTCGTTACGCTCGCTTTACGCTCCTTCCATTAGGCCGCGCATAAATTTCTCGGCTCTCGAGATGATTTCGCGCGTCGAGGCGGTCAATTTTTTTTATTTTTTCCAACAAAAATGATTATGCATTTATCGATAAACTTTTACTTCTTTTAATCTATTTTTTTGTTCCTTTTTTTTTTTTTTTTGAATTGTATTAATCGAAGAAATTATTAGTTTAAAAAGACATTGGTAGGTCTTAATTCAATTTTGTCGAACGATAATAATAAGTATTTTTTATATATATATATATTTTTATTCTCGTCGAGAATTAGAATCAAAATCAAGATCTGGAAAATTGTTCTAAAAGTATAATTGGCCCTCTGGTCAAATTCGAGCAGTATTCGAAATTGCGAGGTATTGGCAAAGGTATAACCGGCGTGTCTTTATTGCTGTGTGGCGCGCATTTTGCTCGTAAAACTTTCTACCAGAAATAATCCCTGCGCTGCGTGCCTTTTAACGATCATTTTTCCCTTTCCCTGCCGGCCTAGGTATATAACCTAACCTCTTCCTCCCTCTCACATCCTCGCGATGCACGTATGGGAACGCACGTGGGCACGCGCGCATACAATGTTACGCAAAAGTCTTCGAGTATCTCTGCCGAGAATTTGCCGTTTGCCTGGATAAAATAGGAAATTTCTCTTTAGTTGATCGTCCCCCTTCTCCCCGTAATATAATTCTTTCTTCTTTAAGGAATTTTTCGAGTAATTTATCTGTTTAGCATTGCAAATGATTAAAACAAATTTAACTTAAATCTAGTCTAAATTTAATTGACGAAACTTAATTCGATTCTGATACGAATTAAATCAAATCCAAATTCAAATTTAAATTAAAAAAAAAAAAAAAAAAAAAAAAAAGGAATCAAATCGTTGATCGAATTTGTAGCAAGATTAAATCGCTTGTCCGATATCGATGCGATACTTTTGCGCGTTACTGTATACGCAATTGCAGCCGCGTCCGACCTGTTGGTCGAATCGACACATCGGGTATCGTAAAGAAAAATTCGCCAGATGAAAATTACGAGCGACCCTCGTAAAAGCTCGGCATAAATAACGTGGGCTGATGTAAGGGCAAGCGCGTAGTTCAAGCCGCGAACAAAGAGAAAAGAGACGAGAATAGCGGTAGCGCGTCTTTTTAAACCATTGATGTCGATCTCGATTTTTTTTTTTTTTTCTCTCTCTGTAAACGAATCTGTGATTGTGCAATACAGTCGATTCGTTTCCGTCGAGATAAATTTTTGCGGATCATGTTCGACTACGTTTCTTACTCCATTCTTTTTTTGAGGTTATGTTCTCTCTTTATTTTTTAGGTTATGCTTTATGATGTAATTCCTTTGAATTTTATCAAAATGTGTGTAGAAATTAATGTAATTTAATGCAGTGACGTTACATTGAAGTACAATAGAGAAGGTTAGAGTTTGAGGATATGTTTAGAAATTAGTATAATTTAATATAGTGATATTAGAATATAGTTATATTACAGTACAATAGAAAAGGTTAGAGTTTGAGGTTATGTTCTCTCTTTATTTTTAAGTTATGTTTTATGATGTAATTCCTTTGAATTTTAACAAAATATATTTAGAAATTGGTGTAGTTTAGCGCAGTGATGTTATATTAGAGTATAATAAAGAAGATTAAAGTTTGAGGTTATGTTTAAAAATTGGTGTAGTTTAGTGCAATTACATTAGAGTATATAGAAAAGATTAGAGTTTGAGGTTATGTTTTCTCTTTATTTTTTAGGTTATGCTTTATGATATAATTCCTTTGAATTTTATCAAAATATGTGTAAAAATTGTGGTAAAATGGTGTAATTTAGTGCAGTGATGTTACATTAGAGTACAATAAAGAATTTCTTGTACTGATCTATAGTATTATCTATAGTTCTTTCGATATATTATAACAATAATAAAAGTAATAAAACTTCAAAATCCTTACGGTACGTTAAAATTTAATTTCGCAGAAATAGCTATATCTCAATAAAGCAACAAGACTCGACATACATGCATCCCTTGCAAATAATTCAAGCAAAGAGTTTCAATCCCCCCTCAGAGCCTCAAAGAAACAAGCGCAAGAGGAAGACGAAGAGAACAGCATAATAACGTAGAATCCTTTTACGGAGGAAAGAATTTTTCTTTCTCCCTCTCGCGTCGACCAACGTCGATTTCGACCCGATTGAATGCGAATCGATCACTGAATCCTGCGCACCTCGAAAAACCGGCTGATTTACGGGGAGGCAGGATACGAAGCGATCGTCGTCGTCGAATATTTTTCAACGACCCGCCTCTCTCGACCGCATCCGATCGCCGATGATTTACGATTATTTCGAATAATACGCCATAAATTCTGACCATCCCTCGCGATAAGGTACGCGAACGTGTACGAAAATACTGATAGCGGGATCGATCATCGCATCGGATATTTAACGCATTGTCTTTCGACAAGGGCGGAGTTTTTAAATCAAGGTGGAATTTCGTGGACTGGAATTGGAATTAATTTTTTGAAAAATTACAAACATCATAAAAAATTTATTTTTCAACATTTCAA